ACATCAACACGTTCCTCTTTTTCCAATCTATACTTATTCACACCGACAATGACCTCTGTGGAGGGAGATGACGAAAATGAAAAATTAATGAAGTCGCACACGGTGTGTGTGTAAGTGCATGCTGTCGATCCACAAAAGCACTCAAACAAAAACAGATGGGACAACAGAAGTACACCTTTTTCCCGGGCATACTGACCAAAAACGTGTCGGTCAAGGTACACACACACACAGTGCACGACAAATGTATTGGGTTCCACTCGTTTTCAGGCTTCTACATTCCCTATCAAAAACATGACAGAAAGCATGGCACGACTTGCCATACTGAAAATTTTAGACAGAAAACAANTTTGAGTGGAAAATATGAAGGGAAAGGGTAGAAGATGAAACCTCCTCAGCTCCGCTTTAAACCCTTAAATGGACCTCGGTAACATTCTTGCAAGACCTGTGACTCTCACCTGGCTAATAATCATCTATTCTCGCTCCAGCGGGCGGTTACTAATTCCTTTCTTAGTTGCTGAGTAATGGAATCCTTCTACAATTGAGCAGTAATTACGTTCCAGTTGTACCAAAATGGATTTAGATCTCAGCTGTAGGTTGATCAATGCATGAACTGGATCCCATGAAACAACAGTCAACATTTTACCGTACATGAGCAATAGACGAGAGTGTAATCAAGTAGGAGTATAACTTCATCCGGTAATCTGTTGTAATAATGTGAGACTATAAAGAATGGAATTTTGTATACCTTCAAGTATAGCTTGCTTATTTTAGTCGCTGACTGAAAAAATTCACTGTTGTTGCCCAATTTATCATGGCAGTCCTTCCAAATTTAGGACACATTCTGTAGATATACAAGATTTCATATTTCTCATCCCCGAATTATGCATACTTTTTGTTCCGCACAAGTTGATAGTGAAGCTGGTGAATACTAGCGTGCTCCCCAATTGGTTGTACTGCTCACCGATCTGTTGAGAAAAAATTACTGACTTACTGGCACATCTTTAATTGTAGTGACATCGCTACGAATACATTTTTTTTTTTGGGNGGGGGGGGGGGTGCAACGGATAGACATCTACAAGCAGGGAAAATGGTCATTTCCAAAATACTCTCAGACACTCGTCATCCATCATTACTTGGTTAACTTTTAAAAGCGGGATCTACATCTGTATCTACACGCTCGAGATTCAAGCTTTTATTTATTTACAAGTACCTCTTCATAATTCTGCTTCACCATATTTCGCACGTTTTATGTTGTTGTTGATAGGGGCACAGTTTCCACAGAATTACGCAATTGTTTGATAAATTGCCAAAGTCGATATCAGTAATAATTTTAATTTTATTTAGCGTAATTTTGTAAATTTACGCTCATAAGTTTGATGTAAGATGCAGAAGCTCGCCTACTCGCGTGCATGAAGCTACTAATGACTTTATTTGAACAGGAATTGAGGTTCGTACACTTGTATCCCTCCCAACCGCTCCATTCGCACACCTCGCCTTTCGCATTTTCCACTCAAATTAGCACATTGAGTATGTTGTGTTCGCTGTTGTATACCCTGCCATACTGTGCATTCTTTTGTTTCCATGGAGAATGTGGAAACCAAAATATTGGGAAAAATGAGGGGAGCTCTTTACTTTTGTCATACATTGCACAGAAATGGTAGTAATGTGCAACTAGACCCGTGACCATAAAGTTTGTTTTCGAGCCACGGAANNNNTCGATGACGATAATGTTACCAGCGACGGGGAGATTGCGTCACAGCAAAGGGGACGAAACAAGAGTTTCAAGTTATCTCTCTACTTGTCTTGCTTTTATCGTACCCCCGACAAGTACCAAATTGTGGGGTACAAACTGTTGGCGGCTAGCGTATGAGAAGGACACTTTGCGGACAACCAATACGTTGTTAACCGTTTAACCATGAACGTAATCATTTCTATAGGTAAATGTTGGCTACATTTCGGGGAACTATAAACACATTGTGAAGTTCAAGCCGACCTTTTCACGTGCGACTGTCCAACTGACCGCGAAACAAACTAGGTTGAGATTTGCCGACCTCGATCTTCATCTCAATATATGTACATACTTCCTTGGTGCAAAGATATGAATTGACTGACAAAAGACTAACGGATGCACATGCCTGAAGAGTGGCAATTAGCACGATATGATATGATATTTTGAACCTGTGCTGTGCAACGTCCACAAGGTCCGTAAACAAAATTCCAAGATGATATTGTTCAAAGTGGTGGATGGTGATAACCATTCCAAAAATTATCTTTTCACTTAAAAATAATCGACCCCTGTTTTTATCCCGGCTAGATTTCTTAAAGAAAAATTGCGGTCCAAACTATGACATGCGTAAACTGAACTGAACTCGGATAGATGCTATTTTTCCGCTTTAATTTACAAAGATGCCAATGATTAATTACTCTTTGAGTGCAACGTTCAGGCACTACCAAATTAATATTTTCAATGGTTTCGTCGTATCCAGCGAGAAGCGAAAAAACGCTTACGCACTTGGTACTAGCATAAATAGTACAACTGTGGTTTGACTGATATCCTAGCAGTGTCATCAATCTGGAGAACTGAAAATTAATGCAACACATAAGGTGTAACTGAAATGGTTGGTGAGATTGATATGATTGTAGAAACAGCAGCACAAAGTGCACAAGCGATGATAACCAATTCGTCCTCAGAGCTCGGTTTGAACTGATTGAGAGTCCTGGTCAATAAGACACTGACATTTATTATTGTCTGTTCCGAATGGTTGACTGTGAATACGTCAGTTGATACAATGAAGACCACCATAGAAACGAATTATACCGGGTTGATTGACAGTAAATATAGATATATTCTTATAATGAATAGTATGTAAATGACTGGACAAAATAGAATAGACAGCTCTTGCAGAGTCAGTCTACTAAAGAATCAATACTGTGATTTCATGTTTTGTTGGTGGCTTATATATATCCATAAAGAGAGGAGGAGAACGGACAATTTTAGAGAGGTTCATCAAAACAAAAAGCACAAAGGGGATGAGATGAAACCTGTAAAAAACATTACCGTCACTTTTTTACCAATTGCGTTAGCATGAGTCACCAAGAACGCTAAACGTTTTATGAAATTTGGTATTTTCATCACATTTTCACTACACACAGTGGTCGTTACGGAAACCGGTAACTTTAGTCCCTGGACATGGAGTGGTAAACCACAAAAGATCCCAGTGGTCGGATTAGTGAAGAACAGTTCTCGAACGAGGATGTCATGTCAGCATTTCTTTATCGAGAATAATGTGCAAATCTGCAGACCGATTATTTGCCCGGCGCATCAAACAGAAGTGAAAAGACGACGACTCACCCTTGCCACTGTCAATGGCAGCTTGTCGTTTGGCAGCGCACTCCTCGATACGCAGTTTCGGAATACCAGCTTCGATAGCTTTGGCCATGCCTCCCATAGATTCAATCTGAATGAGAATGGAACAGTAAAGGAGGACAAAAACGTTCGGTGAAAGGGTGCACGGGATTTTGGTCCCAACCTAAGAATAAAAGTAGCAAGCGGTCAACAATGAATCCAGGCGGACGTTTTTGTTCCACATACGACAAGCTTTTATACGATACCGTCTCGTTCTCTATGGGTTTCGAGAGAAATCGAACTAAATACCTGTTCAATTTGTGGATAAACTTTGATGTGATTGTTCAACGTTTTTAATGGGTGTGACAAATGTTTAAAACCCCTGGATCATGATCAGTATGTGGTTTTTTGCAAAAGACCATCATTAGGACTTTTCCCGACCGAAAGAACTAGGAATGTTTGGGTCAATATTGAGTTATGCAGGTGTCTAGCTCTTGCTTAGAGAAAATAATGAATACATACAGAGTTCTATGAAGGAAAACAAAACAACAACCCAAGTGTATAATTTGAACAACTACCACCATCACCACCGATAACCATTCGAACCGCAGCAACAAATTCGAAAGTCATGTTGCAGTTAAACGGCTATTTCATATTGTCACTCAAGGATCTCCCACGAGAACCCTCCTCAGTAACCTTTCAGATACCGTATGGATTTAAGTACGGGTCAAAAGGATTGTTCAGACGCAACAATAATGAGCAAAATTTAAGTCTGTAGTCCCAATCTATTCCGCGGGTCAAGGAAAAATGTTTGAGAGGCAGAGCGTTAAGAGTATCGATAAATTGGAGTACATAGAACAAAATGTCCCATCTGGAACAGGTCAATCATAAATTCCGCAAACGAGCAAGCTTTTTGGTGTAACGATCCTTCATTGGATTATACACTTGTTTGCTTCGGGCAGTATTATTGATTTTCGACCACTGTGAGTAAACCGTCAACGGCACCCTTTTGAGCGCTCCGATTATACTACTCAAAAATGTGAGTAGTAAAATCTCACAACAATACTTGTGACATGGCTGTTCAGTTCACAAACAAATAGCTCTCGAGCACAGAATGAGTATGCAATAAGAGATAAAGTTTCGTTTAGGCCATGATTTTTCCCTTACAAAGATCATGGAGGAGAGCGAAACTATCGTTTCAAAATTGACACCCCAAAACTAATCATCAAACCGAAAAAGTAAAACAGATCCAGTTTGTTTTAAGGCCGTACAGTCACTATTGCCAAAAGAAAGCCGAAATTTACCTCTTCAATCTCTTTCATCGCAGCCTCTGCAATCTCATTGGTCAGGGATTCCATCATGAACGATCCGGCCCATGGATCTGCCACTTTGGTGATATTGGTTTCTTCTTGCAAAATAATCTGGGTGTTACGCGCGATACGAGCAGAGAATTTGGTTGGCAGACCCAAAGCCTCATCGAATGAGTTTGTGTGCAACGATTGTGTACCACCAAATACCGCAGCCATAGCCTCGATTGTTGTTCGGATGATGTTATTGTACGGATCCTGATCGGAACGAAGAGCGAATGGAGGAGGACGAGGAGGCGAGGATTAGGGGAATTCTGTCACAGAGCTGATGAGCAGGACATAGAAAGGTTAGCCAAAAATCGCAATACATTCATCGAAAAGGGAAACCAAGCACGGAAATTAGTGAATCGTACAAAAACACTAGTCGGTCTGACCAACTTCCGTCATGAAATGAGATTCATGAAATACGGTATTGCCTTACTGAAGTCACAACTACGATTCCAGGCGATTAAACCAGCTTTTCCTATGAAGGAAATGATTTGTATAAGAAAGCAAATTCTCTTCTTTTCGACTTATCATGATTTCAGATAACTGCTTTGCCATAGTCCTATTCATTTGACTCAATAAACCAGCTGAAAAGTAAGTAGATGAAGGACGCGTACCTGAAACTCAGCCAAACTTGCTAGTCCATCGGTTAGATTGCACTGAACTGCTCTGTTTTGTTTTTATTGGTGCTGTTTCAATAAGCAACACGTTTTCAACGTTTACTGTATTGCCCAGCTCAGTTTTGATTGATTCAAACATGATCAAGAACTGAAAGTATCAGTATTATAGAACCGCAACGTGCCTTATTTACAGTTGCCGCTCCCGTTTGAAACCGAGACTTGCGGAAGGGCACAGAGCAATTTCGCAGAGTAGTTGTCTCTCGAATTGCAAACTAAAGCCAAAGGACTTCGTAACTGGTTGGTTGCAGACCCTTAGAGACATGGAAAACATATATATTCACATGTCTCAGTCCAGACTGTGTGCCTAACAGATTATGGTACAATCATCTTTATAAAAACAATATTAAAAAAAATTGCTCGTGCACATGGTACTGCAAGGTTGCTCAGGTCAAACCAGGTGAATTTTCTGCGGGGAGTTCACAACCGGAGCCTTCGGTTAACCAAAGCCTGCCTGGCAAGGCAGTGGAGCGGTGTGTGAAAACAGCAATTCACTGGGGGGGGCCAGTGTCCAGTATTGCGAATCACACTCTATTTGGACGGGGCTAAAACGTCCAAGATGCCCAATACAACCGGCGACCATTATCACCTTCCTAACCACAACTCGGCTTGCATGTTGTCAGTTTGGCGGTGATTAGTGAATATCAATTTACTGTGTTTTGCCGTATGATGGTAATACCAGCATTATTAAGTGTTCGCATAATATGTTCGATTTGTGGTTCATCAAGCTTGAGAGAATCCAATACGTTTAAGCTAATATACGCCAAACAACCGGTACAACTAACTCTCTGTTAAGAAACCGCCAGGCAGTTAAGACCCTAATTGATAAAACCACTGGTGTTTGATCTAAAACCACATCTCCCTCAGTGCTCTGCGAACAAGTGCAATGGAACGGGACCATCGCTGTGCGAATACAGAATTTGCTGTGCAATCTGACCAATCGAGGGGTACCTAATGATGCTTGTAGAAAAATTAAAAAAACCGATCGAGAAATCACAATATCAAGCCATCTGACAAGTATTCAAGAGACATGGAACAAAAGGGTCACTGTCACATTCCTGGAAGCCACTGAGAGTAAATCAAACTCCCATAGTGATCATCTGATTAAGCAATTACCTGTTCTGTCAGTGACCATCCGGAAGTTTGACTGTGAGCACGCAACAATAGAGATTTATCCGATTTCGGTTGGAACTTGTCCTTGATCAGTTTGGCCCAGACGCGTCGACCGGCACGCATTTTGGCAATTTCCTACGGGGTAAGGGAAATAAGAGGTCATTTGATTGTGGTTATCGAAGAGTAAGTTAAACATAAAACAGTTTACAAGCGGGTGGGGGGAGCCCCGAACATATACAAAAACCAGTAGGCAGTTCTCATCAGTGCTAATCGGTGTGTGAGTTTTGGGTAATCGTGGTCGTCCACTGGAGCGAGTGGTCGGCCTCTATAGATTACGTTAGTTGAGGCGTGTGGTACGCATGTCGTCAGATAGGTTGCCACAGCGAGCGATATTTGCCGAGGCAAGCACTGGGTGGAAAGAAAGTCTAGGGTGGTTAACCTAAGACCTGGCACGAAGGTATGAAATCTCTAACCCGGGGACTGAGTCACATAGGTCCTGTTAGGCTCCCTGGATGGGGACCTCAGAATGATCTTAACCGATGTTTAACGACACTGCATGATATGGCTGAATGTCGTACACAGTGGAGTTCGTGCATCTCAATTTCTGTTCAACCTTAGACCACTGAAATTCACAATTTTCCCTTTGATCCTACTTTCAACCTTCCTATCTTTCTTTTATTCTTTATTCAAATGGGTAGTCAAAAGACAGCAACCAAAATCAATGCCTGTACGAACCGAAAATGAATCAGTTTTTTTAACTCCAATACAATTCCACACNTCCACACTGTTTAGATCGAATTCCAATGAAAAAAGTAAGCCATTTTCCCTGTCTGAACTGAATTCAGCTCCAAATAGTTTACTTTAACAAAAAATGGTCAACCGAGTTGGATGCATTTCCACAGATTCCGAAGTAGGTGGTAGGATAAACTATCTAGTCTAGTATTCCCAATCAGCTACAAATGCGCTGTAAAATTACTCACCATATAGAAATTCATGCCTACACCCCAGAAGAATGACAAACGTGGGGCGAACGCATCAATTTTAAGGCCTGCGTGCTCCACTCCAAGACGACAATAGTCAATTCCGTCAGCAATGGTATAGGCCATTTCGAGGATAGCATTTGCTCCGGCTTCTTGCATGTGGTAGCCAGAAATAGAAATGGAGTTGAATTTGGGCATGTTCTACACGTGGAACAAAAAAGAAGTAAGTTCGAATTAACAGAAGTGATAACTTCAGTTATTTTAGAGGATAAACCGGAATAACTCAATAGAAAATTTCCACAAACACAAAATCTGAAAAGCACCTCGCGATCGAAAATACCAGTTCATTTGATTCGCTGATTTCTTCGTGATTCATGTGAATACAAACTTATACCAAAAACGTCGGTTGAGGCTTATCAGCTGTTTAACTGAAGGTTCATTTCGGAGCATGTGCACTGTTAGCCAACAGAACAGTAACAAATATACGCAGCGTTTACTTCACAGGCATTATTGAAAAAAGAGTAAATAATGGGCAAAATTTATGCGAATGAAACTGGGTTGAAGCCGATGGGAGGCATGAACTGTTCAAATCACAATGAAAAACGAGTGGCAAACTTATTAGCCTAAACACAATTGTTCATCTGTCTACCCGAATTTCAATGCGAAGTTCATAACACACGCGTGAATAAAGATATACTAAGTAGAAAATTCCAAACCAAAGAACGAAACTCTTCCCATTTTGGTTGTGCGCACTCTTTTCTTTCTCACTGACTATCATAATAATGCTTGGTTTAATGTGATCCATTAAATCACCTAGTTCTGACTCTTTTTTTATTGTGATATCAATGTGGGTTTGTCGTGCAAAACCTGAGCCGTTGGTGAAATTTAGATTGCAGAATACTCACAACTGGAAATATGTTGCCTCATGCATATATTGAGTAGCTGTCATACAATTCACTCCACCCCACCCCAATTTAAAACTTGCCCGTGTTTATTAGTTTTACAAGTAAAGTAATAAATGCGAATGCGTAATTTCATACCTGAGCAGTGTACGCAAAAATGTCACTGATGATACGCATTGAAGGTGTGGGCGGGAAGATATAGGTGTTTCGGACCATGAATTCTTTGAGAATATCATTCTGAATCGTTCCAGCTAATTCAGTTTGTTTAGCACCCTGAAACAAGAAATATAAGGAGTAACAGTTTCAAACAGGAAAGTTATCCGAAAACACAAAATCACGTAGGAAAAGAGAGAAACAAAAATGCTAAGAGACAGATCTGTCTGCTATAAAAATTGTTATTCCTTTCCAGTCTGAAAAAAAACATTTATCGCGAAATGATGTTTAAAAGATCAACGGCTCTTCTACCTTATACATTAGAGATTCCAAAACCATTTTTGTTACCATGTCATCCCAAAACGACTGTATATTTGTATCCTGTGATCATCTGTCCTAAAAAGCTGCACAAAATGGTTTTTATCTAACCAAAATTTTAATCATACCAGAAAATTTAGATGATGATGATGATGTGAGACGAAATTCATTCTCTTGGTCCTTCTAGAATCAGACTCGGGTGGGTTTGTCAGTCGATGAACATATTAGAGGAATGTCGAATCCAAGTTGATGGACTTTGACGTTGCCATACCAGCATATTAGCAAACTAAGTTCTAGCTATAACTCGCACCGTTCACCTGTTTTCTTTTTACTGGGCTCCTCAGACAACAAAGCTTCAATGAACATAACAATTCTGGTAACATTTCATATTTAATAGAATCTCTGTTATTTTAAGGAACTGGTAAGTTACACCAACAACACTACATCACAATTTCTCATCTAAATAAGGGATGAACTCGTTAGATATAAACGAAATGACCGTACTTCATTTTAGATGGTTGTTTTATATATTCTGATTACGTCCTATTGTGCATTGATCTTTGAGTCTTAAAAAACTTTCATCAGAAAAAAGTAGAGAATCAAGACGTGCATACAGTTCAAAAATTCATTACCTGCTCTTCTGCAGCTACGATAAACATAGCCAAAATGGGGAGCACAGCGCCGTTCATTGTCATTGAAGTACTGATATTCTTCAGAGGGATGCCTTCAAATAAGCGGGCCATATCGTTGACTGAGTCAATGGCCACTCCGGCCATACCAACGTCACCGTGCACACGAGGGTTGTCAGAATCGTATCCTAGAGGCTGATATATAATGACTGGACATTTTACCTCTATGGGTAGCTAAATCAAAAGCTACACTGAGACCTTGCACACCAGCTTTTATGTTATCTCGGTAAAACTTGTTACTTTCCTCGACAGTGGAGAAACCTGCGTACTATGAAAATTATAGTTCTAAATAGGAGACATCAATTCTTACCTGGCGAATAGTCCACGGTTTTTGTGTGTACATAGTTGGATAAGGGCCACGAGTGAAAGGATACTTCCCAGGAAGCTCCAGTTTTAGATCAGTCGTGTCTTCGGGTGTGTAAACGGGCTTGTATTTGATCCCCTAAGTCGGTTGAGTATTGGGTAACAAAGGTCAGTTACTTCATAGTTATTGTGCACCAAAATCTCCGGACTCTTTCCTTTTAATTGCTTAGTTGCAAGCTTTGCCCATTCCTCGTGAATCGGTTTGATGTAACAACGTGCGCACTATCAAGTTGGGCTTGGCATCAAGGAAAAATACAAGACTTACAAGCTTTTGCCAGTTAACTGGCTGCCTTAAGAGGGTTGAAACCGGCATCTGAAAGATTGGTAAAAAGTAAACAATTACAGAGCGTTTGAAGAATGAAATCTGATAATTGGTGCCGCCAATAATTCAAACCGAAGTTGGCTTACCTTCTAAACTAAACGTCGAAAAACGAGAAATACACATTATATATATATATATTGAGACTTGTCTGAGGCCAGACTGTGTGCCAAACAAATCACGGCACAATAATCTTTATAAAAAGAAAAACATTCCCCAATTTGCAAGTGGGCTGAATACTGCCAAGTTGCCCAGGCCAAATCAGGCAAATTTTCTTGAGGGATCCACGACCGGGTCGTTCAGCTAACCAAAGCTAGACCCGCAAGGCAGCGGAGCAGCGTGAAAAACTGTAATTTTATTGGGAGCCAGTGTCCAGTACATAGAATGAACAGTCTATGATTGCTTTTACGGTGGCAAAAAGCCTGGATTAAGCATATGCAGCAATTTGTTAGTACACAAGAAATACCACAGAGGAAAAGCAACTTCCGAAAATGGTTGAGCCGTGAAAATCTACTGTGCTGCAGTTTCTGATGGAAAAATTTCTTGCCTTTTAGAAAAAAGCCAAGTTGACTAGCCGATAACACACAACTCTGAACATTCAACCGGCAAGATCCACAAATTGCTCTGTGAGCACTGAACTGAACTGAATGAATCAATCTTTGGGGAAGTTATCCGTTTAAATAGTGTGTATACTATATTATGCAGAAGTGAGCCCCATCATATTATACCCCTAAATGGCCCTCTCCAGAGAGCTAACAGAACTTGTACCATAGCTGGAGAATTTGGCGACGAGTCATCCCAAACACTAGTGGGTAAGATTATAGGTGGAACGAGAACAAAGGACCGAAAACCTCAGCTCTATACCTGGAAATTCGTTGCTGGCAGAGAGAAGTATTAGAATATAAGAAAGTCGAAATACGGCGGTAAATAAACCGTCACTCGTGCGAGAATCCGAACTCTCGTGGGCTCGATTTGTAATTTCTGACATATGAACTGAATATTTTAATTTACAGTTTGCTCAGTCACGTCAGGTCAGGTTGCACAGAACTGGTATTGGTCACGGTCAATCAAAACTTGCACGCAGCATTAGTACTCCCGTGTTTTGAAATTCTGAATCTAATAAACGGGTCTGAGGCTACTCCCAATGGTCCCGGATTTCGGTTGATTCCTCCATTAAACAATGANGATTACTTCATGCGCATAATTGTATAAAAGTGTCAATATAGTTGGGAACCATCTTGATTGGATTGATTGAGTCATACATGGCATACGTATTATTATTGGGGCCTTCCTGTACTCAAACGAGCATTGAGGCTACCAGTGGAACTACGGTTCCAGATTTTTCGAAGTGCCATAAATATAGAAATCTCTGTGCGCGAAAACGCGGAAATAATGCGTTATGGTTTCGCGGTATGCTAAGAGAACTTTTGAGGATCAATTTCCACCACCAATGGCCAACTTTCTATTTTTGCCCGCAAGTACTTGCTTATTTTCCAAGGCATCTCTTGAAAGGATTCTTTAAGATCTTCTTCAAATAAAATTGTTGGCTGAAGTTGTACTAATCACAACGCGTCTTATACATCATATAACATTTCGATTTCATCTAAAAAAAGCCCTTGAAGTTTTTGAAATAGTTTCAGATTGTAGATATAACGCTATATACACATTTACGTGCATACACAGATACATATTTCTATATTAGATTCATATGTTTCGTCGGTATGGAGCTACAAGTATTTCTAGGAAGAAATCTATGCAATACTGTTGCGACTGGGCTCTATTAATAGAGCTCGCGGGCTCGCGATTGCAAGATTGTATGCACACAACAATACTTTGATAAGTTACATAAAATATCACTTTATAATTTATATAATATAAAATATGCATATACGTCGGTTAAACAAAAAGAATAATATTTATACTTATATATATATAAATCACTTTATACATCATTATTATATATTATATATATACTTCTGCATAAATCGCATGTAAAAATAAAATTATTCCGAAATGAAGAGGCGAACAATAAGGAACAGCACCGGAATTCGCAGCTATTTTATAAGCACCCGAAAAAAATGATTCGGCCGTCTAAGATGAATTATCTCACTGGGAAAATCAAAAGCTACACAAAATGCGCGCTTAAAGCACCTTCCGCGAATCGACCTTCACTTTGATGCAGACGAAGTCGGTTCAAATCAGTTCGGTTCCAGGACTTTGACGGCGGTGTGCCAGTTCGTCCAGTTTCTTGTAGCAGTTGGCTCTAGAGATCCACAGATGCTGCGACAGATGGAAGAGGGAGATGATTCTTCTTCCGGCAATGGTCGCTCTCACAGAAACCTGGCTGGTGGGCGACATTGCCGACTCTGAAGTGTCCATACCAGGTTATGTCCTGTTTCGGGCGGATAGGAACCCTATACGGAGGGGGGGGTGGAGTTATGGTATACATTCGTGAGGAGCTGCCATCACATCTTCTGGAGGCGCAGGTCGACCAGCAGGGACTCTCCGAATGTTTGTGGTGCAACATTAAGCTTTCCTGCAACGGCTATACTGTGGTAGGAGTCGTGCATAGGACTCCCGCATCGGAATCACCAATACTGTTGGAATCCTTTAGGCACAGGGCTGCGAATGGTCACTGTATCGTGCTCGGGGACTTCAATGCACCACATATTGACTGGGCCTCTAACTGTTACTCCACGTCTGCTGATCCCTTCTCACGGGAACTGTGTTCAACAGTCTGTGAACTCGCACTTCATCAACATGTACAGGCACCAACTCGA